TATTTAATCATTTAAATTTAAATATTTATCTTTTTTTATATCTATTATTTATTAAAATTATAATATAATTCTTATTATTATTAATTATTTAATTAAAAATATATACTTTTTATTAATATATATATTTATTATTATATTTAAAATTATAAAACTATTTTTTAATAATATTTTCAAGCTATATGTCTTATCTTATATTATTATTTTGAATAAAGATATTAAATTAACTAATTATTTTTAAAAATTATTTTTTTAAGTAAATAAATATTAAATTATTAATATTAACTATATTTTATTTCAAATTAAATGAAAAAATAAAAAGAATAAATTATATTTTAAAAAAATATTATATATTTATTCTATTTATAATTAAAATTATTAAAATAAATATCTTGCTATTGCTAAATTTATTTATAATAATTTTATATAAGCTTTATTAAAATATATATTACTTGAACTTAATCAAAATAATATTTATTTATATTAATTATATTAATTATACTTGTTATAATTAATAAAATAATTATTGTTAATAATTTTATTTAATATTAAAATAATATAATAAAAGATATCAAGAACTTATTAATATTATAGATAAATAATATTTTAATAAGAAATTTATATTAAAATATATTAATCTTTTTATTATTTTTTATATTTTACTATTAAAGTTATATAATTTAAATAATAATAAAGAATTTTTATTTAATATCATCAGTTATAATTATATTAGAAATTAAAGAAGAATTTAAAGTTAAAATTATTTTGATAAAAGAATTTTTCATAATAAAATTTAATATTTAGTTAAATAACTAGATTATTTCTTATATAATATTATTTAAAAATTTATATAATATTATGAAAACTTATAAAAAAGTTTGAATTAATTTATAATCAATAATAATATTAATTTTTAATAAGAAAAATTTAGAAATTTATTAATTTTTACAAATTACTAAATTATAATATTATATTATATATTATATTATATATATTAAGAATTATATTATTAATATTATATGAGATAAATAACTTATTAATTAGTTTTAAATTTCTTTTTATTCTTAATTACTATTTTTAATAATTTATTTATCTTTTTTTATCTATTTTTATATAATTCATTATTAATTATTTATTTTTATATTTATTTTATAATAAGTATTTTTTAAAAGTATTATTAATTTTAATATTTTTATAATTATAAAATATAAAATAAAATAATTAATTTTATTAATAAAATATAGTAAAAATTAAAATTTTCTCTCTATATTAAACTTTATAATTTTATTAAGAATAATTTTTATTTTTATATTAAAAAAATTCATAAGTTATAATTTAATATATAATTTTTTCAGATTTTAGATTTTTTTTAAAAGAATTATTTTAATTATAAAGTTAATGCAAAATTATTACTAATTAAAAATAAAATTTAATAAGTAAAAATTTTAGCATTGATCTAAAAAATCTGAAAAAAATATATATTAAATTATAATTTATAAATTTAATTTTAATATAAAAATAAAAATTATTTTTAAATAAAAATTATTTTTTAATAAAATTATAAAGTTTAATATAGAAAGAAAATTTTAATTTTACTATATTTTATAATAAAATTATCTCTCTAATTTTATAATTATAAGAGCTATTATATATATTAATAATTTATATACTTCTAAATTATTATTTAAAAATACTTTAATTCTGTTTTATAATTCTAATCTTTTTTAATATTAATAAAATAAATATAAGTATATATAATTAAATTAAATTTGTTTAAATCTATTTGCTTTTAACTTAACTTTTATATAAATATTTTATTAATATATAAAAATATAATAAGAAAATTATACTTTAAATAATTAATTATTTTAGTTATATTATTAGAAAATTTTTATATTTTATTTTATAATAATAAAATTTTATTTATTTCAAGACTTAATATATTATTTGAAAATATATAATATTGATTTTTTCTGAATTAAATTTAATTTAAAATATATAAATTTAATAAAAAATAATTATTTAACTAAATTTTAATTATTTCAAGTATTATTTGAGATTTTAAGACAGAATAAAAGTAAAAATAATATAAATTTGATTATATTTTTCTGAATTTATAAGTATAATAACTATTTATAATATTTATTTTAAAGAAACTTAATAAAATAATTAATAATTTTTATTATATATTTTTAAATAAAATTAATTTTATAAAAAAATTTTTAAACCAAAAATAATAATTTAATTAAAAAATTATAATTTTTTAAAAAGTTAAATTATATACAAGACAAACTCAATAAGATAATAGTTGGGAGTATAGATAATTTATTCAGCTTATTGAGATTTTTGTTTTACTAAATTTCACACTAAGCCAAATTTATATATAATAAAAAATTTGTTAAATCAGAAAAACTTTGTCTTAATATAATTTTGGCTTAGTGTGACTTTATCTTAACAAGTTTGCCTTGTATAATTAATTATAATTATTATAATTATTATAATTATTATAATTATATATATTTATTATATATTTATTATAGTTATTATAATTATTAAAAATTATTATAATTATTATAATTAATTATAATTATAATTATAATTATAATTGTTTATTTTATAATATTAATCTTAAAAATATATAGTATATTAAAAATATTAATATATAAAATAATTATATTTTATTAATATATATTTTTAAAATTAATATTATAAAATTCATTAGTTTAATAAAAAATTAATTATTATATTATTTTTTATAATTATTAAAATTAAAATTAAAAAATAAAAGTTAATGAATCTAATAACTTATAAAATTAATATTTTATAAATAAATAAGTTTTAATTTTATAATAAAAATTATTGTATTTTAATAATATATAACTTATTAGTTTTTCTAAGTAAAACAAAAAATTTTCAATATTTATAGGAATAATTTAGTAAATTTTTTTAAAAATTAATTATTATATTAATACTTGAAAAAATAAATTATAATCAAATTTCTCTATAATTATTATACTTGAAAAAGCAAAATTAATAACTATATAGAAGTATGACTATAAAAAAGTTTTTTGAAAATTCACATTAATATAATGTAAATTCAAATTTATATGATATCAGGCAAAATTATCATAATGTTATAATGCCAGATAAAATTAAGATAATTTAAATATTTTTAATATCATATAATCTAATTTAAAAATTTTATTTATGATTATAATAAATATTATATATTTTTTAAAGATAAAAAATGTTTACTAAGTTATAAATATTGATTCTCAAAATTACAAAAGTTTTCTAAGTAAAATATATAAACTTAACAATATTTTATAAATAAATAAGTAATAATAGTATGACAAAAACTTAGTATTACAAAAATTTAGTATGATAAAATTATATATTTTGTAAAGATAAAGAATATTTTATTAGTCTTATAAATATGATACTTGAAATTGAAAAAGTTTCTAAATAAAACATGAAAAATTATCAACTTTTTATAAATAAAGTCAAAAATCTACAAAATGACAAACTTTGTGATACTGGGTAGAAATGTTCTCCATATAAAACTAATTTAAACTAAATTGATGCAATATTTATAACTCAATATCTGCTTTAGTTTTTGAGAAAAATGCAAAAATTGTAAAATTTAATTTTATTAAGAAAAAGATTAATATATTGAAATGCATGCATAAGAAACGCCACGAGATGATTTTAATGAGTTGTTCTTTTCCTGAAAAAATTCCCACATCATGCTTCCCGATTGCCACTTTTGAACGTGGATGAAAAATTTTCTATATTATAAAAATTCGCCAGCCCGGGAAAGGGCCGTCTGATAAAGTAACAATCGATTTTCACTTGTGAACAGTCCAATTTTGTCGTTGAATTCACCATGCTACCAGTTTTCACGTTAAGTGCGGTTTCCTGGAGGCATTTTGTGAGGGAAATCTCATTCTAATTACGAAGTTTTCATTATTTCATATATTGGTTAAAAGAAATCTAACATGTATTTGAAATTCTGTGTTTATTTTACATGTACTTTGTACTTTTAATACCTGATACGTATTTGACTTAGCGTTAACATTAAGCACATGCATACCATATGTCCATTCTACATAACGAGAATACATGTCATGTACACGTAATTGGTTTTTAAACGAATAATGATATGATAATGTGTAACAAGAGCATAGAAAGCGTTCCGGTATAAAAATAAAAAATGTCATCTTCGCCTTCTGCAAATAAAATGTATACAACGATCAATAAGATATCACATTCTGCTTGTAATAGCTAAATCAGAAGAACGAATAAAAGCTTTGAATTTTCTGATGATGAAGTCTATAAAGCGGTGATGATCCGGTGAATTTAGAATCTAGCACAATATATGGACATAGAAAATGTGAGGATGAATTTAATTTTTTTACCTTTAAAGCATTAACGTGAAAAATCTAACATGTCGCAGTAAATAATGTATATCGCTATAGCATTGAGATTCAACGCCATTAAATTAGTTAAATTAGTAATCAAAATCAATATTTGGTTAGATGTTACTTATACACTCCGCCGACATTACTATACATACATAATTTACTTTGTGTTTCACAGAAGATGTATGTATGCAAATCGGAGATCCAAAACACATTCAATAAACGCAACAATGAATCACTTATCCAATCCCATACACACATTAATGATATTCCGAGAACAGTACATTCAATCCGTCCGACGGAGAATACTTTTTCTTGGTAGATAATTTTAAATGAGAACATATATACGGCAAATTAATAAAGACCAAAAAACTAACAAAAGAAGACGACGAACGAGCGATATCCTATTGAAATTTTGTTGTTTACTCAAACCTTGTACATAGACTTTTTTATTTCGAGCGACAAGATATCCCTGTTATTTATTTATTTATTTACTTCGTACGTTTAAAATTAGAAAAACAAAGAACAAACAAGAGAGAACTCGTTTTACATTTTCGTACACGTGTTAAGGTCACCAAAAAAATGGCAGACGCATATCTCCTAACCTTACTTCTAATATCTCTTCTGCTTATAATTGGCGCAACATCAATCTGTTGCTATATATGCCGTCGTTGCTGTAGACGAGAACGAAACGGACTTCCCTATTCTTATCACTTCCCAAGTAGTCATAGCAGCAGTAGTAGTGATACGTCGTCTTCGTCCTCGTCCCCAAATCTTTTAAATTCCAATGACATTGACCCACTCAACGCATTTCCTCCGTTTAATGGTCTGGTGGATGATCGAGTCGTGTACGTCTATCAATATAATCCAAACGGGGAGGAGTTCATGATGGGTACAGAGGGTGGAAATGTTCCAGGTCTGATAAATGGAAGACCACAACCTGCTTATGGCGGGAATGGACGGTATTATGTCCCGCAGATGCCATTGATTTCACATCCACCGTATTATGACGATGAACCGCCAAAGTATGAAGACATAATGAATTTAACGGTGTTAGGTAATGAAGGGGGTGGATCAAGTTCTTCTGCGACAGCTTATCAAGGAGCACAAGGTTCAAGTACTCATATAGAGATGGAGCCTTATAGGGATGAGGTGGATGACGATAATAATAGTGGTTATGATGAAAATTTTAGGGACAATGATGATGAACAAGGAGAACGAGAAAATTATGCAGAATCGAATTCATCAATAGGGAATAATAATAACAATAATGATGGTAGTACTGGTGGTGGTGGTGGTGGTATACAACCTTTAGTTATAATTGACAATGATGATATGGGGGACGTTATTCTTTTTTAGTCGGAACAACTCCTCAGAACTATGTACTATTTTCTATTTATCCGCACCAAAGTTATTGTACTGTTACTGTCATAGCGATAGTTATTCAAACAATTCGAACAGGCGAAAGCCTTTTCTCAAAGAAATTAAACAATTGCAAATTCTAGAGAATAATAATAAATTTATTAGAATCCCATCTCTTTTGTACATATTTTTACAGTTTCACCTTTACTCAGGAAAAATTATCAAGTTTATTTTGTTTTTCTAAACTCATCCTAGCATTTATGTTTACATTATTACTAACGCTATTATTATTCCGAGCAATAACAATCTCTGAATTCGATTCTTGCTCAAGAGGAAAAGATGATGATGAAGCATTATCTTGTATTGGTGTTGGTGGTATCAAGTGTTTTATGTGTGCCTGGTGGTGAATCCACGATTGGTGTGGAACTGATCGAACATGTGTATGGTGACAATAATTGTGATTGATTCCTCGAACCATTATGATCTTCCAAGTCAATAATTGATGACCCCAAAGAAATGATTAGATTTCTCGGGCGATTATCCATGGTATTCCGAATATCATCATCAACGCCAGCAACGATGATACTAGGACTGCTCCCATTATCAGTATTATCGATATTAACATGACGATTATTGTCCAATACACTACTCCTCCATTTCATGATGCTGTCGGCTCCGTCTGACATGTGCTTCTCGACATTTCCCCCACCACCAGAACCATAAGCACCACCATCGCTCAATAGTCTGATCACACTTCTCTTGCTTTCTATTTCCGCCTTGATCATACACGGAACTATACACACTTCGGCCGCAACCGCCAATCCCAGCATCAAACAGCTGACATCACCATTCGAAGAGAGGATAACTCTCAAAAATCTCGTCAATGCCACGACACCCATTCCCAAGAGTCCGTAAGTGATCGAGACATGCACTAGCCGACGAAATTTCACGGCGTGATCATTCGTGGGCCCATACACATGTCCGGTGGTTAGTAATCCACGCTCTCGCAAATGTTCGATGAACACCCACGAGATGTATGCGTAGTAGACGATGGTTATCACGTCGTAGACAACATTGAAGATGATTAGTCGATGTTGTATGAGTAGGATGTATTTTTGATTGTATTGGTACATGAATCGAGGTTCATCGATTAAACTGAACAAAACTATTTTGGTGATGGAGGTCAAGGCCCAGATTATTAGCGTTATTAGTGGATATTTTGAGAATGGTGCAGCACGAAGGTAAAGAACCAGGTCACTTAGGCCAAATGCTAAGATGTTTAGGCATATAAATAGTATGGTTTTTGGTGTTGTTTGTGCAAAAAAGGTAGCGAAATCATATAGACTCAAAAATAAACGTAGAGTTCCAAATCCACATGCAATTGTTGTTATCATGAAAAGACGTGTTCTTGAATAGTACGTGTGGACACACAAATGAATAAATGTTGCAAGAAGATAAAAGAATGCTCCTCCAAATATACAAGCGAGCAATACTACCCATTGTAGTAATCTCAGCGTGTTAGGATCATTGAACTCTTTGGGGATAGTTAAGGTGGAATCCGAATCTAAATCTGGCGTTTGTGTTGAAGAAATTATTGTAGTGGTGGCGAGCGTAGCTGTAATGATTGATTGGGTTGCGTGTGGATCTTTCATGTAGAATAACTGTTTGAATCTTTGGGTCTCGTGTTGAGCGGAACTGTACAACAGTTGCTTGCTTGATAGAAAAGTGTGTCTTGCTCCTTGTCAACTGAAAAAAGTACGAAAGAGATTTTTATGATATTGGAACTTCAGTTTGATCTGAGCGAAAATTTGTCAAAAGAACAAATGGCAACAATCAGAGTTGATATCTAAAATTATCTATTGTTTCCGTATTTAGTGTCTCTGTTTGTGTGTCTATTTTCGTACGTGTACGAGCAAAGGATAAGATGGAGAGGAACAATCGATATTTTAATATTCGCAAAAAATTCTTCTGGTGTGATACCTGCTACTAATAATAGATGCTAGGTTTGTTCGTTGGAGAAAAAAACCTATTTCGTGATGGTTGAGGTTTGTCATGAACATAAAAATACGGGGGTTTCAGCAAAAAAAGAACTAGAAAGAATTAGAAAAGAAAATGGAAAAAAGAAATGACCAATTTATTACTACCGTATATGTATTATGTTAAATTCATAATCTATTTATGTGTGAATGCTATACTAAAATACTATTAAAAAACCATTAGCGTAAATAATATGAATACTCCATATGGAAAAAAAACTGATCCTTGGCTTCCTAATCGAGTCAGAATTAATTACAATTATTATTATTAAAGTGACGATAATAATGCACATAATTGGATAAAGACGTTATTGCTTTTTTTATCGTTATTATAAAATGATAGCAACCATTCTAACAATACTATTTTTATAAAAATCTTTCGATTCAATTTTTTTTTAAAGTTGTATTATTCCTATTTTAGGATATTATAATTTGTGTCATCCATTCTCATTGGTCATTTATAATCATTGTAATTATTGCTACATGAGCAGAAAAACATTTGTGTCGCATCGACACGTCGTCAAAGTTCCCGGTTTCATTATGGTGCCGACAATATATCACGGACTTAATTTTGTTAATTTAACGTTTAAACTTAAACGTGCATCAACAAAGCTATGAGAACAAAGCACAATCCACCGCATTTCTAATTGTCCATTCAATGATTCAAGGGGGTTTGCTTTATATTAGAAAGTAAAAAATTAAACTAAAGATGGTCAAAACGTGTGCCACTTTGAAGAGTCCAACCTGAAACAGTCCTTCTCATTAACCATTCAACAAAGAATTATAATATCGAAAATTAATTCCTTATTGCCATAAGCGATTTACTGTAAATATAAAATGGTAAAGATATTCGTTAACGCAGTCAATTATATACGATCAATAATTCTCTTCCTGACCAACCATCGACACATTTACTAGAATTATAGCAAATAATAAGAGTTTTAAAGTATTGCGTGAATTATTTATTTTGCGGAAAAATATTTTATTTTAAAATCTGAAGCTAAATTAAATGACAAAGCAGGGTATTATATACAGTTCTAAACGGTATAGACAGCGCACCGTCAAGTCTATATAATATTGAAGCGATTATATGGACAGCTTATTGAAAACACATCGTCGTGGACTCCAAGATCGAATGAACGAAATTCATAAAGTATTGCAGAAGCTGGAAATTCACGCGAGATAAATGTGTTCTATATATCGAAACAGTGTCCGTTGATTATCCCCGGTAGCCGGAAAAAATTTCACGGTAATTTAGATCTCGAAATTTTGTCTAATAAATTTTTCTGTGTTCTAGCAAAAAAATGTTATTATTAGCTCAACACCGATTCTAACCTTACTTTCATAGTAATTATTGGTTTACATGCTCCTGACCGATGCAGATGAATAACCGACCATCCGATTCAAAGTACCGTGAGACTTTTTCTGGCTACGCTGGTGTATTCGCACCGATCCATGTCGTTTATCCCTGTTATTTAAACATTTTGTTGTGCGTCTTCTTTAACGATAATGGGTAAAACAAAGCTTTTCAATAGGATTAAGTCAGGACTGTTTGAGGCCAGTCTATAACTCCTTTTAGCAAGACGACTTGTATGTTTTGGGTCGTTGTCTTGTTGAAGTCGCCAATTATTTTCAAACATCTAATTACAGTCATTGTTCTTCGAAAACAAAATAAGCTTGTTTTTCCTGTTGCACAAAATCCACCCCATTTAAAAATCTTTTGACATATAATGAATCATATTTCTTATCAGAGCTTTTTCTTTCCTCATATTACTTGCTGTCTTGCTTATATGAATACTAACCCGATTTATGAGATTGTCCAGTTCCGTAATAATATATATTGCGCATAGGGCAGTCTTGATAATTGTGACGAACTATACGTCTACAACACTGACACATTTTATCTTTTAGGATTAGAGTGAAGCTTAGAACTGGAAAAGAGATTATATGTAAATTATCTCATCGTTATTTTTTAAATTTTCAATAATGATCCAAGATAAAGTTTGATATCTACTTTCCATAGTTTTTTGCATTTTTGTCTTGTGTTGAATTTGTTTTGCCGGGTTCTTATTGGTCTGTGGAGTACATGTGAGCACAGATTATAATTGCTTCAGTTCTCAGAATTATCTTTATCTTTTAACAAACGATTGGAAGCTCAGATAATGGACGAGTCGTTGGTGAATTAATAGAAAACAGCGAGTCTTGGATTCCATCCGAATATATTTTCGCCCGAAAATCACCATTGCCCGTATTTTCTAATACATCCTCAATAGTCGGTAGAACTGACCAGAGGTGTCCAGTTCCCTTTAAAAAAATTCATAAATAGTTAATAATGATTTTGCTCACCAAATGTTCGTTACCCAACACATAATCATCCCGTATGCATACTCACCTATATATATAGTAAACTTTTCTGAATTTGGGACGTCTTGTAAAGCTTCACTTAATCGTAAACTATAATCTTGACTACCGATTTTTTTATTGCGAAATTTTAACTTCATAAAGAAGTTCGCCGGCGCTATTCCTCAAGAAATTTCTTTGTTCATCGCGAACCTCGTCTGTTCTCATTTTGAGTTTAGCTGAGAAGAAACTGGAAATTATTTTCATTATAATTTATCTTCAAAGGCATAAGCCAATATTGTTCAATAAAATATAAATGGATAAAAATAAAGAAATATTTGTGACAAGGATATTGATGGGCAAATTTTTGCTTTTGGGTAATAGTTCTTTAAGCGTTTCGTCTGTAACTGTTTGTCATAGGGTAATGTTTTTTTGGTGCGTGTGCAAGAAACAAAACAATACACGTGATAATTTGTTTTTACGATTATGTTTCTCACGTATCGGTATGCAAAGATAATCTGCTCAGTTCCTGATCACATGCTAAAAACCAGTAAGAATGTGCAAATCAAATATGGTTAAAGTTGAAGATAAGGCAAAGATTATATGTAAATTTGTCTTCCGACATTTTTAATTAGAGCTTCAAGTCAGATTTGTTTGGTCGGCTGATTAAAAATCTTCGTTTGTGCATGTGATTACGAACCATGCACAGAATCATTAGGAATGAGCAAAAATGAAAAAAAGACAAAAAATTCAAAAAATTATATACAAATCTAGCTTGAAGCTCTATCAAAAAATGTCGAGAAGGCAATTTACGTATAATCTGAACTTTAACCCTACTAACTCGTATACATACTTTAATATTAATCAGTTATTTCAACGGTCCTTTGAACATATCTTAAAATATGGCAGAGATAGAATCAAAATTGAAGAATTTATTCAATCGACACCTGGAATTGAGAAAATACCTTTCGAAATGTTTACTAATATTGAGAAAATTGTTAAAGAGGGATTTGGCAAAAGTGCATAAAGGTGTTTTGAATGAGGAAGAAATTTCATTGAAATCATTTGAAACAATAAAAGAAACTATTTGCATGAGGTAATTAATATTAAAGATGGTGTCTAAAGTCGTATTTTGAATTCAATCGATAAGTATGCAATCCTATTTCCGTAGTTTATTTTACATTCTATTTATATAGTAAAAAGTATACAATTAAGGCTGAATTGACCCTTAAATATGAAAAAGACGGTAAAAATTATAATTAAACTTATCGTTATTTATATCTAGTAATTAATTAGCTGAACTTTTTAATTAGTGATGATTATGAATGTGAGAATTCGCGATTTATTTTTCATTAAATTTTATTTGACAATGATTTATTTAACTAATCCATTATTCTATTTTTTATTTAGTTTGTAAGAATTTAATGATTTTATTTTGCATATTTCATTTTAATTTTTTTGATATTAATAATCTATTTAACTAACCATTATTTTATTTTCTTTTAAAACAAAAGCTTATATTTAAATTTTTATTCTGAATCTATTATAATAAATTTGAGATACTAAATATATGAAAATGGATTTATTAGAGCGCAAGAAATCAACAATTTTATTTTGCTTTTTCATTTTAATTTCTATGATATTAATAATCCATTATTTTATCCTTTAAAGAACTCAACTATTTTATTTTGTAAATTTTATTTTAATTTTATTTTTCACTTTTCATTTTAATTTTATTTGATATTAATTTTGCTTAATGTTATGCAAATTGAGTTCTTTATTAAAACAACTGACCTTTAACTACTAAATGATGCTTATTTTTTTCAAAATAAAAGGTTATATCTAAGTAGGGTATTATACTCTAAAATAAATCAATAAATGATATATTTCCCTTTCAGGTTTCTCATGTTAAAACAATCATGAGAACTATTACTAGCAATGTTATTTCAGTTTTCTTTTCATAATATCAATGAGATTAAATTTATGCGTTGACAAATGAAATTGAATGAGTTATTTTATATGGTCGAAAGCAATAAATATAAATAAAATGGTAATTTCATGTATTTAATGAATTTATATTATCAACAACCATATTAATAATGGTGGTTAAAATGACTATAATACGGGCCAGGATGTTTATTTTCAGGAGTGCTTATTGGATTTTACATGTTAAATACACATAAAAAAGGTACATGTAATAGAAATGTATCTAAATCTGGCATGTGAAATATGCTTTCTTCTAACATTAAACTTTTAATCACCTAATTGAATTAGAATTTCTTTTTTAAGATAGACATGTCTTGATATTTTCTATCCTCTTTTTTTCTCAAATACAAAAAATTGTTAAAGTATCTTGCTTCAAAAGTTATCGTTATCGTCAACGTAGTACCAAT